ATTATTATGAAGCTTAAACAATCTTTGCAGGTTGATAATCAGGTTAAGTACTTAGCTGTTGCCATTTTGGTAGTTTGTTTCGCTTTTGATGCATCCTTGTTTATGACTATTTTTGTAGAGCAGATAAAACAAAAGGAATAGTTTTAAAAAAAAGAATGAAATAGTTGAGAATGTTTTGAAAACTAATTTTATTGCTTCTACAAAAACGTCATTGATAGTTGAAGATGAGAGGGACAAAAAAAAGTATAGCCATTTTAAGAAGTTGGAAATGCTTAATTTGAAAAAAAAATTTTCTGCAAATTAGAGTAGATGAAAGGACTAGATGCAGTTTTTTTCACATGAAGAACAACGGAAGTTGGCTACAAAAGCAGCAAAAAAAAGGCTGATGACAACGATTATTGCTTTAAAATCTGCGGGCAGAATAAGTTGATGTTTTTCTTTTTGGAAATGCTAAGAAAAACGGTTTGTTGGCATTAATTCTGCTGTATTGATAAGAATTTTTTGAGCTATCATTGTGATGATTTAAAAGCCCACTGCAAATCTATGGATAATTTCAATTTGTATATCGTAAACTGAGCAACGTGTGTCACTATTCATTGTTTTTCTTCTTTTTATGAGCTTTTAAATGAACTTTAAAAATATCGCTGATAATTCTTCTCATCTATAGTGTTGTTGTGATGTTTCATCTTTATTTATTTTTATCAACATTATTATTATTAGTTATTGTTGCCCTTGTTTTGTTGTTGTCGTCGTTGTTGTTGTTGTCGTTGATGCTGGTGCTGATACTGCTACTGATGCCACTGATGCTGTTGCCGTTGTCGTCGTCGTTGTCGTCGTTGTCAGTGTCATTCAGATTGTTGTTTTTGTTTTTGATATTAGCAACTTTATCCTGACATTTTGCTTTGTTATATTTTATTGTCAAAAAAACCCCATGGAGAGTAATTTAAATGAAAAATGTTCTGATCTGAAAAGTTTGCTGGAAAAATTTAAGTTCTTGGATGCTTTTTTTCTGCACAAATGGAAGTATTACGTTGAATCCTTGTTTTTTGTGTTCTTTCTATCTATCTATCTTTCTTTCTTTTTAATTTCAATTTCGTTCTTGTTTTCTGCAACTATTTTCAGGATTTTGTTATTTGAGACAAACTTTGGTGTGAAAAATGCAATGAAAAGCCAATGCAACTTTAGTGTCTTTATTTTGATTATTCCGTAAACTTTAATATTTATTTATTCACTTTTTTTCTCTTTTTGATATTTTTACAAAAGTTTAAAGTTTAAGAAAAAAAAAGGAATTTAGCGCAACAATTTTTATGGTTATTATTGTTGAAAATGAAACTTGAACGGAAGTTGCGAAAAACGAAAGAAGAAATCAACGAACATCTTGACATTGCTTACTCATTTGTCTTCTCCGCTAAAATAAATATTCCTCTGAGCAGTAGCCATTAAAGTTATCGCTAGATTTGTAGCTAATTTTACTTCTTTAAAGTGCCACTATCAATAGTTACTTAGCTGAACTTTAACCTATCGTTGGGGGCGAATCAGCATTCTTGAAAAATTAGGAGCAGATAGGGAAGGGCTGAAATTAGGGGGGCGAAAATCTTTGGTCACTCAGTAGCCAAACAGTTGTTCTTAAAATTCTTTTTTAATACCTTTTTTTTGTATTTCAGCCCTGCAGTCGTCAGCACCATTAATCCAACGTTGCGTGGTGGTTACGCGGCAGGTTGATGGCTACGGCCTCACCGTTACCGGTGACCATCCGGTTTATGTACATACCGTCAAACCTGACGGTGCGGCATTCCGGGCTGGTGTTCGTGAGGGAGACAGGATTTTAAAAGTTAATGGTATGCCAGTGACTGCATCTAATCATTTTGAAGTCGTACGAATGATCTCAGGTATTATTATAAATTTTTTTCTTGATATCATACTTTTTACCGTATTATTTTCTTTTTCAGTTTTATTATTATTATTGATAGTGCTGGTTTTTCCTGATATGAATTGATTGAAAAAAGTAGTCATATAGAAGGCGGATAAGAATAATAGTATAAAAAAAGCGTAATAACAATTAAAACGAATGATTATCCTTTTTAAAGCTTAATTGCAGTTTTAGTATTTATTTTTTAATTTTTTATGCTGTTCACCAATTAATGAAATTTTAAAAATTGAGTGAATTGATCATACTGACTGATTATAGTTTCAAATCTTGTTCCAGTTCTTAAATTTATTTTGATCTCTTGGTGCAAAAATTGCTTTTTTGACGGAAAAGGTGACCTGTGTTTTTTTTTTTCTTTGTGTGTGTTCGCATAAATCTGGGCTGGTGTTTGTGAGGGAGACAGGTTATGTAATATTTTGGAATAAGTGGATTAAATGACAACAGATTTATATGGTATTTATTATCAGTTAGCAGCTGTATATTTGAGGAATTAGAAGATAAGTATACAGGGAGCTTCAGTGTTATAGCACAAATTATTTCTTTTTTTCACGGTTTAAACTAAACCAATAAGTTGTTATTTGCAAATTGCAGAGAGAATAATCATCCGTAGTAAGCAAAAAATTTGTATACTTTAAGAAACCTTGTGATGTTTTATAGTATTACAATTGACAAAACTCTTCTCTTCTCTCCTTTTCTCCTCCAAAAAAAAATAACAAAGCAATTGAATCTATTTATTTAGATTTTATTTTATCTTGATTACTGATTGTTATTGCTGTTTGTGGTGGTGGTGCAGAAAAAGAAAAAAAATCAAGGAACAGAACACTTATCTTTGACTAAATTAGTTGAATAATTGTTTGTTGCCAGCACCGTCATAATTAGTTCGTTGTTGAAATTTTAAGGGATTACCAGCTTTAATAGCTATTACAATTGATCGTGTTTAAAGTTTGTTCTTTTCTTTTTATCTTTTACAGTTTATTTTTTGTGTTATCGGTTAGTTTTTGTATGTTTTGAAGAAAACAGTTTTTTAAATTATATTTTTGACCACTGAAGGTGTCAGACAGACTGTATCAGGTATTCAGCTGTAGGTAATCTGGAATAGTCTGTATTTTTTGTTAAGTGTCAAATGTACAACAGCTTGGAATAGTTCTGATAATTTGATCGTTACATTACTGGTCAGAACTTGGTCTTATAATGGCTAGAATATTCTAGAACATGTGTGACGCCAAGATTTCTTTTTAGGGTTTAGAGTCTACCGCTAGTTTCGAAAAATTTTTTTGTTAGATCAATTTTTTGGCTTTTGTATGCGTTAATGTTGTTTGTTCAGGTGTCACACTTTGAGCCAGCAGTTTTAGGCAGTTTTTTCAATATTTTGAGTCTGCTCTTATTGCTAGCAGTTTGGCTTCATCTGTATGAAAAGATACTGACATGGTGTAGCAGGTAAGAGTTGCCGATAAATGTGACTGTAGGAAAAAATATTTTATTTGAACCCCTGTATGGTTCTTTGCATCTAGATCTAAAAACCGTTTTCTTTTTTGTACGTTCGAGTATTTGTGAGTGTGTGTCTGTGTGTGTGTGTAATCTTCGAGTTGTATCGTTTATGTTATACCATTTGGTTTGGCTCACTTCCCAATTTTTTTACTCTATTTTCATTTGCAGTTTAGCTTTAAAACCAAAGAGAAAAAGAAGACGGGAAAAGAAACAAGTTTGGCTGAGCGTTTAGATAAATATACATAAATTTCTGAGAAAAATTCAGCATTATCACTACAGACTGTAATGTAAGGAAGCTGAATATTAACTCAGTTTTCAGTATAGTTTAATGATTTTTCTACAAAAAAAAAGTTTAGTGAAAGAAATTTGATGTTCTGAGAGAAGAAGGAGAAGAGAAAAGGAGGAGGAAGAAAAAAAA